AGAAAGACGGGGGGGGGGGGGGGGGGGGGGGCGACTTTGAAAACCCTGGAGCCTCTCATCCCGGTGGACCCAACTGAAAAATTATTATTTTGGGCACCGATTTGGAAGTTAAGATTTGTTCAGGATTGAGTCTTTATTGCGATGCATGTAAATCGACCTCATCTCAGCCAATCAGCCATCTTACTCAGCATTAACTAGTTTCATCAAGTTATCGAAAATTAACTATCACAGCCAAGAAAATCCATTTATTTCAATATAAATCATCGCTACACACACACATTTGAAGCTGTTCATATCAGTACGACTTGTGTAACGTAAACATACAAAATTTTATTTTTAAACACTTACATTACTTGCAAATTAGTGAAATATATGAAGGTGGCGAAACTGCCTGCACCTTTGTGGAAAACCATTCAGGAGTTTTTACAACAATGTTTATTTATAGGAATTTCAGTCAAATCTTCTCCTGTACTGGTGCTCATTGCCATTTTGATACATGCGTATTTGATCGAATTATTAACTGAAACCCTTACTAATGTGACGAATTTGCCTTCACTGACATTATAATGTGTGTCAGCGTGAAGAAAATAACTTATTCCGTTTTTTTGCTTTACTAGGTACTTAAAAACAACACAAAGTCGTTTTTTTTTAATAAAACTGTGATTTTAATGATATGGAAGAATAAGAAGATCTAATTTGTGACTTAAAACAAATAAAAATGAAAAGAAAATACCAAACAACCTAGCGTGAAACAACCTAGGGCGAACATGATTTGGGGCGAAAAAACCCGGAACCGGTCTGGCCCCACCCATAGGGACCTCATTTTCGGGTCATAACTTGATACTTTTTGTCATATAAATTCTAAAGGTCATCATAAAATGTTAATATGCTGACAAAAAAATATTCATTTGAAGCATACAATACTGCAAAATTCAAGCCTTGATCCATTTTGGGTCCCGACATTCGCAAAACCGGAAGTGCTGATTTGTGACTTCAGAGCGTTCTATAAATATCTCAAGTGAGCCCCTGACTTCAGAGCGTTCGATAAATATTTCAAGTGAGCCCCGGGTGCTAATTTCGTTTTTAACAACACCCATCGATATTCTTTCTTTGATACAACCATAAATGAATTCCTCCTCAGATTTTTCAATGATTTAAAAAAATGATGGTTTGGTGATCCAATTTGGGTACTGTCACCTTATGCATTTGATATGCATAAAGAGATAAAACATAGCCATAAATTAGAATTGATCCTGGGATCTGGCTCCACCCCTAGGGACTTAATTTTTAGGTCATAGCTTTGAAATGGTTGAAATACCCAACCCATGGCCATTTGTAGCATTGGTGGGCATCAAGACCCAGGTGAGCAATACAGGCCTTCTTGTTTATTTGTGTGAGTGACTCAAATGAATTTCACAATCATCGGTTGATGGTAAGCAATTATTGATCTTAAAATTTCAATCAATTCTGAAACACTAAAAAGAGTTGAGTGGCAACAATATGTGTATTTCCATACAGTTTGACAGAGTTGACTGCTTACAATGTATATTTTCTTGTAACAGATTTTACAGAGATGACCAGAGCTCTAGGATATCCAAGATTAATATCCATGGAAAATTTTCGGACACCAAACTTTCCTCTTGTCGCCGAAGTTCTAAAGTGGCTGGTTAAAAGGTATAGGTTGTTATTTCATATTTGTTCTACTTACACACATCAATTGCAACTACAAATACAATTGGAGGAAGAATATTTTTGCAATATTTCAGTTTCAGTTGGATCTGACCAACTTCTGATTCATGTGAGAAACATTCTTTGATATTTTTTATATGGTTTGATATAATTGATTTAATTTTGTTTAACGTCCCATGACAGCGTAGGTCATTTAAGGTCTGTACATCCAACCATCAGATCAACAGGATTATACGATGTAGCTGTCACTCTATCAAGTAACCTTTTAAGTCCTGATGATGCATAGAAATATTTGGTTTTTATTTTTTAGTTGATCAAATACGTAAATGAAATAATTTGTTTGTAATTTTATGTAATGGGAATCAATAGTGACAATTGTATTCTAAGTTGCAGCAGTGTTTTTCAAATTTTATGATGGCGTTGTCCACCGGCCGGCCGGCGTAAACTTTTGTTTGTCCGGCAGTCTCCTCCTACATTTTTCGACCGATCTCTTTGAAACTTGGTATACATTGTAATCATGATATGAAGTTGTGTCTCCCTTAAAAGAATTTTGATTTAACAATTTTTCCAAAAGGTATTGCCCTTTGTTCATTTCAGTATTTGATTTTTGTCCAGCAATCTCCTCCTACATTTTTCAATGAATCTCTCTGAAACTTAGTAGGCTCAATAATCATGATATGTTGTTGTGTTTCCTTGAAAAGAATTTTGATTCGACAATTTTTGCAAAAACTATTGCCCTTTGTTTATTTCAGTATTTGACATTTTGTCCGGAGATCTTCTCCTACATTTTTTGACAGATTTCTATGAAACTTATTAGGCTAAATAATCATGATATGTTGTTGTGTTTCCTTGAAAAGAATTTTGATTCAAAGATTTTTGCAAAAGTTATTGCTCTGTGTTCATTTCAGTATTTGATTTTTTTATCTGGAGATTTTCTCCTACATTTTTAGGTCACCTGAGACAAAGTCTCAAGTGACCTACTGCGATCGCCTTTTGTCCGTCATCGTACGTCGTCCGTCCGTAAACAATTTACATTTTGACTTCTTCTCCAAAACCCCTGAACCAATTTCAATGAAATTTTGCACGAACCTTCCATGGACAAAGGTCAACAAAAGTAGTGTCCGGTTCAGTCCCAAGCCCCCAGGGGCCTGAGGGGCGGGGCCAAAAAGGGTCAAATTGACTAAAATTTCAAAAATCTTCTTCTCAAGACCCAGATATGGTAGAATCAAGAACTCTTCATAGATGGAAGGGTCTTAAGGTGCTTTACCAAAATTGTGAATTTCTTGACCCTGGGGTCTCACGTTTCCCCCTGGGGAGGGGGTAAACTTTACTATAGTTTATATAGGGAAATCACATTTTGGACCAACATTTGTTTAATTTCCATTGGAAGTAATTCAATTTGGGTTAGCATTATCAGTATTAGGTAGCA